AAATAAATCCTGTATTTTATTCTGTTTATATTCTCCGTTTTTAAGATTACTTTCATGGCATTTTTGCATTTATTGAATGTTTTTTACTGAGCAAAAGGAAAGAGAAGAGTGACAACATGCAACTAAAGTCCCCAGACAAACTCATAGTCAGGGACACCATCAGTAGTACAAATTAGGAATTTGAATTTGAAAGGTTGTCATGCATTGCTGCCTCACCTGTTGTTGCAGACGCTGCTTGCAGTGCGAAACTTGTTTAAATCTGGAGTCGTCTTGCAGGAAGGGACACGATGACGGGCAGAGCAACCTGTCAGATCAGCAATGACCTGAAGGTCCTCCTCAGTGATCAGATCTGATTAACAGAATAGAAGAATGAGCAACTGAGCTGTAACCGATTTGCAAGTATATGTAAAGGTTCAGATAATATGTACACACCTGTGGCATTGATGGAGCGTTTTTGACGTTTTTCCAAAGACCTCTTGATAAGTTTCACGGCATTGTCCATGTAGTCTGCAGCACGCACAGCGGAGCGGGTTAACCCAGCAGGCTGCTTCAGCAACCGCAGGATGTCTGAAGGATTCGCTGCATTCCTCCTCACACGATCAATACTCCTGTTGTTTGGAGAGATCAGATCTATTAATATCTTCAGTAGTCATTTAATCTTTATCACTAAAGAATTGTTGAACAGGTTTGTACACTCACTGTTGCCTGGAGTATGAATAAGCAGAGTCCACATTAGCCTTTGCTGCACTCACGGCCCTTTCAATGACACTCCGGCTCAAACGTGATTCTGTAAACAAATGCATTATTTTATTTTATTTTAATTTTTTGGTTGGGCTCATTTTTAGGTTTAATTCATGCTACACAATTACATCTTTTAACAAAATATTTATTGTAACATAAATTAAGTACAAAACAAAACCTTTTTAACGCAAAAACAAGAGAATAAATAGTAATAGGATGAGATTATTTTAAATCGGCAAAACAGTAAATGTATCTAAAGCTATTTGTAGCTATTTAAAGTAAGACGATAGAGTAGGCTACTCACCAGCATCCACCTGATATTGTAGGAACAGGTAAAGACCAGCAGCAAGGAGGAATACAAACCGATTCATCTCTACAAAAACAGAAAAATATTCTGCAGTCATACACACAGGTCAAATAAATAACACTCATATATTTCCGAATTTCCCTCAAAACAAATGTTTTTAAATAGGCTACGACACAATCGAATACAGTATTATCGATCATAGGATATTACCTGCATCTATTGCGTAAAACTAAAGAGGGACATGAGAGTTAAAAATAAAGAAAATGAACGTGTAAAAAAGAGTGACACTCGTGTCCTGTACTCTCCTGTACCTTGAGTAGCCTACTACCTGTCCTACCTTATATCCGCTGCAGACGCGTCACTTGACGCCACATGTCATCAGGAATTTATGTCTTGAATAGATTTTCCTTTCCTGGTTCCTCGTCCATACCAAAACTGTTGAGCAACGTCACAGAAGTTTATCACATAGACAAAAAGCTTTTGCGGTGAGGAAATACAAACTCATAAATTGTGCCCTAATGCAACAAATCAATCGATATTCCGGTGAACCCAAGAGCAAAGAAAGGTCTACAACACACATATTATATTTTATTACCATTATTATATTTTTGTCGTTCTTTTGTTTCTCATCCCGCATTCGTGTCTGTTTGCTTGTCATTTACAATATGTTTTGTAAATACTGCATTGCCGTAAAAAACAAAGAAAAAGTGATGAGTTTGCAAATGCCTAAAATGTAATTATACTTGTTTAATGCACACATTTTCACACCTCGATACTGAAACCGCCCCTCATAAAATTGTTGGGTAACCAAACCAGAAAGAGCTGTCTCTGACCATGTCACCCCGCTCTCTCACACACAGTTCATACATATAGCTTCTGCATTACATAAAGCACCTGTTATTTCAATGTCTCTATTTTTTCTACTATTCTTTTTACTATTATTATTATTACTCAATTTACTATTGATTTTTTTTATATTTCTGAAAACTATATCTGAATATTAAATAGGCTATTTATACAAACAAGTATATAATAATATAAATCGTTATAGGTACTATACGGTGATTTTTTTTTTTTTTTTTTTTTTTTACTTAGTTGAACTCTGGTGTAACCTTTCAACGATGCATTCAACAGTAAATAACAACAATGTCAGAGATATCGCGTGCCCAGACAGTGCACACAACTTCCTGGATGGGAAAGTTTTAATAGGGTTTTCTGTTCAGCCACACAATGGTTCGAAAAAGGGAAACAGCCTCCAGCACCAATTCTAAGATGAATATAAGCCTATTATATGACTCAGTGACTCCATATCTACCTTTAAACACCAAACAGTGTGTGACTAAACTCACTTTGTAATCGGCTAATTTAAAAACATGGTGTATGAATACAAAATTAAGAAGATTCCAGCTGATTAATCAACAAAAAGAGGAGTTTGCTTCCTTTATTGTATTCTAAACAAATATGTGTAATAGCCATGCGCATGAGCAAACATACTAAAATATAACATTCTTCAAGTAACCACATCTCAATTTAACAATTTCAAAACAAGTAGGCAGCATTAAGTTGTGTTATTTTCTGTGTCAAAAGCTTTGATTGTTTAAATACAGCTGGAATGCTACATTTAAATGTAAGACTCCATCTATCCCCATTTGTGGTCTTATATACACGCTGGCTCACTGTCAGTGGGACGACTTGAATGGAAGAACCATCGTTAATGCTATAACACATGTCCTGCCATGAGAAGTCAATGTGTTTGCTGTAAAAAAAAAAAAAAAAGGCCAAAAGCAGTACTCAAATTTACTCCATCAGCGATCGCAGGAGAGATTACATCCCAGATTGGCAATTATGTGATTTTAGACAGAATTCCTGTATTTGATCCGAGGTGTGAGATCGTGGCGGATTGTATTCGTTGTTCATCTCACTGTATGCAGGAACAATGCTTCCTTTTCTTTTAAGAAAGCGTGTCTGTTCCGGATACATTTCACCCTCGTTCAAGGAAAGGGTTCAGACAACGCGGCTTCAATGGAATTAATAGGCAGACTACCTACTACCAAACCTCGTATTGGTTGACGGAAATGATGGAATCTTTAAACATAATACCACCCTAAAAGAGAGACATCATAATTGTTGACAATGTTGGAAATAAGTGTTTTCACTTAAACGTGTATTTTTATTCCTGCATCTAAACAATAAATTCATTTCTTATTTTGCACCTTTATGCATTATGACACATAGGACCATGTATTATTTCCCTTTTTAATCTAAACCAAAGGCCTATACCTGTATGGTTCGTTTTATGTGCTCCAGAATAATGTCATGGTGTTGTTAAATATCGTTGTCTTTGTAGAGATATTACTGTTCCTTTTTTTATATTGCTAATGTTTGGTCACTTACAGAAATCCATTTGAAGACCCTGATTTCCAAGCTGTACATACATACACTGGGTTGCCCTTTTGGCCTTTTGAATGAAGTCAGGAACCTTCCTTAAGTTATGGGTGAAAAAAGCAAAATGAATCACAATATCAATCTACAGTAATAAAGAATCTGAGCTGAATTTTGCAGGCAGCATGTCCGTTTATGTGTTGTCTGCAGTTATAAGGTATACAAATATCTACAAACTGTATATGTCTTATTCTCAAAAATGAGACTGGGATTATAGTCCCTTTGGTGATTTGCATTCAACAACTGTACTGTTGGGCTTGTCGGGCATTGACTGATTGTGAGAGGGATATTTAAGTTTTGTTGATTTGTTGGAGGGGTCGCCTCCCCTTTGAGAGCCAAGTGGTGGAGAGCTTAGCCTGGATTCACACCTAATAACTCAAAGTTGTGACTGTAAACTGTTGTTGCTGTTGGATGCAATACAGGGTAAACTCACCTAAACTAAGTTCATTGCATTTGCTTTACAGTTTACCTGCAGTCTGGCCAATATCTATGAAGTACTGTAAATCCTGTTTACAGGTTGAAAAAGTGTCACACTGCTGAGGTTATTTGGAAATAGATTCTTTAAAGTAGGCTTAAGATTTTCTTCTTTGATAAAGCTTAGGGCTGGCTCAGTAACAGTAATAGTAATAATAACAATAACAATAACAATAATAATATGATTACTATTATTATTATTATTGATCCCCCATTGTTGTGGCTATTGTCGTCGTCGTCGTCGTCATCATCATCATCATCATCTTTTTCATCTTCATCATCATCAGTCATTTCTATTAGTATAGTTGTTGCCACTGTTGTTGTTGTGCATCTTTGTCTCTGTTCTCTCTTTACCCATCTACCACCCTCTCTCCCTCTCTCTGTCTCCCTCTCTTTCTCTCTCTAACCCCAACTGGTCGAGGCAGACAGCCACCCACCTAGAGCTGGGGTCTGTCCGAGGTTTCTGCCTCTTAAAAGGAAGTTTTTCCTTGGCGCCTTCGCTAAGCGCTTGCTTATGGTGGGAACTGTTGGGTCTCTGTAAATAATTTTATATGGAGTAGAGTCTAGACCTGCTCTTTTTGAAAAGTGTCATGAGATAACTTTTGTTATGAATTGGCGCTATACAATTAAAACTGAATTGAATTGAATTGAATTGAATTGAAGAAAAATACCATCATAAAAAAGGAGGAACTGTGAAGGGAAAAAGCTGCTTTTGATGGCCCTTAAGCATTTCCTTAAGAATAAAGTACTGCACATATAGAAAAGTATATTGTATAAAGTAAATAAAAAATATGCTCTCTAAACCAATTTCATCTAATTTATAATTTGAAGCTCACACAGATAAAATTTGTAAGAGCTCAAACTTTGACACAGTGCAAGATCAAATGAGTTGATCATGTTATTTATTTCACTATTGTCTATAGCAAGCCAGCTTGACACCTGTATGCTTTGTAGGTTACATATGTTCTCCTGTTCCAATGTTGCACAGTACAACAACATAAATACTATAATAATTAAAAGAAATAATGAGTCATAGTTATCCTGAGTAAGCTCATTTATTATGTTCCACTTAACGTGGAAACTGCAAAGGAAAATAATTTCATTTGACACAACAAAGCACGAAAATATTAAAAATTAAACAGTGACACAGTTTGCAAACATTGGACCTTTGCGTCAGTAATGGTTTGAAGATTTCACCGAAGTCAGCAGCAGTAAAATTTACCCATCTATAGTAAGACTGCTGAAGTGAGGATTTCTACTTAATATTCTCCTTCCATGGACTGAGGTCGAAAGCAGGGATGTTTTTACATTTAGTGTAACGGGACTTGGTCTGGTACTGGAAGGGCCTGTCTGGCACCTGAGTGATACCAGTGTTGTCACAGATGATGCGGGACAGTGATGTCTGCTTCAGGGTCTCCCTCTGGGCCTCAGTGAAGACTCCCTCATTCTCCCACCAAAGTCTGAAATTGACAGTTTGTTAATGTTTAAAAGTGCAGCTACCACAACTATCTACACATATTTAGTACATGTCAGTCAGTTATGTGTAATTTCAGGTCTGTCTCCTGTCTGCTTACCGGTCTCCTTGACGGATCTTCTGGAACTGGGTGGCAATCAGACAGGCAAACAAAGGTCCCACTCTTCCTCCACGGACAAACGGCTCAGCCACTCCCCCGAGCCACACATCAATGTTGTTAGGTGTGCCGTAGAAATCCAGCAGCTTCTTGGCCAGGTCTTTATTTTTCAATACTTTTGCCAGCTGCCTCTGATTTTTTGGTTGTGACAACCCACAGAACTTGCGCCATTCGTTGTAGCCTAAAAAGGGGCACATGGTTTGAAAATGTTTTAGCATCAAGACACATATGATCTGTAACGTATGAAAAGGCAACATTTGAGAGATACAAGACAGAAAATAAATGGAAAGACTAAATCAGAGTAATACCAGGGAGTCCATGGTCTCTTCCTCTCTGCATGTTGAGAGCTGCCAGATCCAACGCCAACTCAGAGGAGAATTTAAACAGCCTATCCCTCAGCTCATCTGACATCATGTGATCCTGTGTGTTTAGCTTGGCCATGCGACCCACCAGGCCCCTGAGGACTGGGTCCAAACCACCTGAAGAAATCAAGAGATAATTTAATTAAATTACATTAATTTTAATTTAATAATATCTGTTTAGAGAAGGACTAACAAGTTAAAGATCTTGGCCATACCTTCAAAGACGATTCTCCATGGTGTGAAGAAGACTTTGTGCAGCAGTGGGTTTGGGTAATCAGGGTGTTCTTTGTACTCTTCATTCAGACGAAACATGACAGGCTGAACCATCAGATGGGCAAATCTGTAGGCAGCGGTGGCAAACACATTGGAGATGCTTGGGTCCACATCTTCATCATAACCAGGGTAGTCGGACAGCTGCTTGGTAATGAAGTCTGGACCGACGATGTGGAGTAAGTAATCTCTGAAGGTGATAACCTGAAATACAAAAGATAAACATTTAACTTTTAGTTAACTGAACAATGCAAGGACATACCATCCATCCCTTCAATCATTGAAAACTGTGCCTCTCTCTAACCTGGAAATATCCACCCATGATCTTGCGTGTCTCCTGGTAGAGTCTCTCTCCATTCCAGTGAGGGTTGAGTTTGGCCAGAGCACGTGCAAGACGGTTGTGTTCACGCAACAACAGTGTGTGCAAAGAGGTCAGACCAATGTTCTCATTGACTCGTTCGTCACCTTAAAAGTCACATAAAATGAGGGGGAAAGTGTTGTCAGCCCTGTGCAATGCTTGGAATGAATCTTAACACTTTTATGGATTGTACATCAGAGTTTTCCGTGCCACTCACCAGCCACAAAGCAGGGCACCTCCTGAACATCAACCTCATTAGTAATTTTGGCTCGTGTGGCACACATGTTGACAGTCGCGTTGGAGAAGGGCAGGAGCTCACGACCGTTGTCAGTGTACTGTGTGTTGACCCTCAACAGGCCCTCGTCTGTGGTGAGGTCCCTGAGGAAGCGAGCTTTGGCATCATCTGCACCGTACACCTGGCCTACATCGATGAAAGCTGTGAGAGTGTTCATCTGCTCACGGATATTGCTTGCACCAAAGATGTGGCCGGTGTTGCCAGATCCACAAGCTGGTGCTGAGCGGAAGAAGGGGATGCACTTGTCTGAGTTTTTGCGAAAACGGGGGTCTGTCTTGGGAATCTGTTTAGATGACAATAAGCAGTTAGTATCCAGTGTGTGTGTGTGTGTGTGTGTGTGTGTGTGTGTGTGTGTTTTCATGTCTTTTATTGAGCAATGACACTGACCTCAATGGGGAAGCAGGGCTCTGTGCGTTCACAGCTGTGATCACAGTCAATACCGTTACTGAAGGAGCGGATGACGGGGGAGTGAGGAGTGAAGCTCAGGTCGTGATCAGTCCACTGGCCGAAGATTGTCACCAGGTGAGTGTAGAGTGGATCATTTTCCACTTCAGAGTTTGCTGTTTTCAGAATGCAGTTGGACACTTCTCTTACCTGTGGACAGGATGCGGACAATGAGCAACTCGGTGAAAGTGAGAAAATACCTTAATGTTCAGTGTGTTGCTGTTCTATATATTGTTCAGCAGTATTGTCTTTTCCCACCTCCTCAGGAGCTTTGTCAGATGTCTTTACATTTACTCTCATTATTTGTACAGTAAATAACATACTTTATAGAGAATATATATAATATATTACCAAAGGAAGAAGTCGTTTGTTGACTCTAAGCTTAGGGTTCCAGCCCTTGGGCAGAGAGATTTTATCTTGGTACTCAGCCGGGAGCCAGCGGGTGAGAGGTGTGTTGGAGGATCCCCTGCGGGTGTTTATTCTAGGCAAAACAAAATAAAAAATTCTTTCACTTTGTCTTGCAAGTGGGTGCATGATTTACAGCATATACCAGAATACGAGATCACTGCCAGCAGGGATGTTTAGCAGTCACTTAGCTCTGTACATGTTTGTAACTTGTTTCTTTCCAGGTTTGCCAATTAGGTTAAAGTTGCCACTTAGCAGTTGCCTCACCTGTTGTTGCAGACGCCGCTTGCAGTGCGAAACTGGTTTAAATTTGGAGTCGTCTTGCAAGAAGGGACACGATGGCGGGCAGAGCAGCCTGTCAGATCAGCAATGACCTGAAGGTCCTCCTCAGTGATCAGATCTGATTAACAGCGGCAAGGAATACACATCTTAGCTGTGACCTGGATCCACTTGTATGGAAAATTCAAGGAACCTATTTTGGATACACACCTGTGGCATTGATGGAGCGTTTTTGACGTTTTTCCAAAGACCTCTTGATCAGTTTCACGGCATTGTCCATGTAGTCTGCAGCACGCACAGCGGAGCGGGTTAACCCAGCAGGCTGCTTCAGCAACCGCAGGATGTCTGAAGGATTTGCTGCATTCCTCTTCACACGATCAATACTCCTGTTGTTTGGAGAGATCAGATCTATAAGCTATCAGATGTTACAGCTTCTGATGATGCCATTTGTTTGTCATTCACTGCATAACTTGTGCAGCAATTCAGCAGGTTTATATACTCACTCTCTTCTGGAGTACTCATAGGCCGAGTCCACTGTGGCCTTGGCTTCAATCACAGCCTTTTCAATGACACTTCTGCTCAAATGAGGTTCTGAAGTCAAAAAACATCTTTCAGTTTGTCGTAAACACAATCCAGTCACATTTCTTAATCTTTCTTAATATTAAGGTTTTTCAAGTTTTACAGATTATTCTTTTAATATACATTAAATATAAACTCAGATGTTTATCTGAGATCTTCTGTATTTATTTTATTTAAATTTTAAAAAATTAACTGTAGTAGTAGAAGACAATGGGAGACTATTTTATACACATTTTTGTACTAATTTGATAGGGATTGTACTCACCAGCATCCACATGGCTTTGCAAACACAAGCAAAGACCTGCAGCTATCAGGCAAAAAACCCACTTCATTTCTGAAAAACGAACATAGTCCTGTCACTGATCAAATAACCAAAATGCATAAAATAAAGATTTCTTTTCTGACTTTTCTTTCAAATAATTCTTTCTAATCTTGTCAAATAAATACTTATACTATAAACTATAAAGATATATACAAAAGTGTATAGTTGCCTGAATGTGAACTACAACTACATACATACTATGGTGTGAAGAAACATCATATAAAGTTAAAGGTATAAAGTAAGTTTGATCACAGTACCTGTCATGTCCTGCAAGTCCCAGTTTAATCTACGAGCTGCAGTCAGGAGTCGGTGCCATCCACAATAATTTGCTCTCTTTATATATTTAACACATGTGCCAGGAGACACCCCTTGGTAACACCCAAGATATGTATTTACAAATGCTCAAATAAATATACATGTTGTTTAACTGGAAACTAAACCCTCCACTGCCAAGAATTTCACCAATCAACTAAACCCTGTCAGTCAAAATGAATCCTTGATGATTCAGCTTTGTGAACAATGGCCATATTTTCCACCGAGAGACTGAGAGAAAGGAAGACTTTTCCAATTGTCTTTAGATTTATGGAATTATTTCATAATTGGTGAAAGACCCTGTGATTTTTTCAGATAAAATTCTATCAGACCAACTAAGTTTGACATTTTGACCAGATCAAACTGACTCCTGCCCACATAGGCTCATTTTCAGAACCAGCTCCCTATTGTTTATTGTGAGTATGTGATTTTGCCTCTCTGGCCAACATCTATTATCTATTCATCAAGATCCTTCTCAGTACCCCCAAGTTTCTGTCATATTTCTATAACATCTCAGGTACTATACTGAAGTCAAATAAAAAAATATGCTAAACAACCTAATACTTACAAATACTAACAATACACCACTACATCACAGTTCAATATTTCAGGTGTAAAGGATTTTACTAGTTAGAGGCTTTTGGACACACTTTGTTTCACTTCACCTCCTACAATATTTCTAAATAACTCATGGAGCAACATACAATCCTCCCCTATCAGGTCCACCCAGAAAAGTATACAGCTAATCAGTTACAGTTCAGACTCCTTCTGCCTGCAGAGGAGAACACACAATACACGTGAAGCAGCATACTAGCTTTTGTATCCATTGCATTGTTCTCTGCTATCATCACTTGAGTTGTTCTGCAGGGCACCACTAAAACCTTAAGTGAAGCAGCTTTTAGCTCTTTTGCTCCAAGCTGTAGAGAAAGTAAACTCCTTGTAGAGAAAGCAAACTGACTCTGTTGGGTTTTTATTGTCATTTATGTTAACTTATACTTATCTTCTATTTTATTTTACTCTTTTAAACTCTATTTATATGTGTCTTTTGTATCTTGTTCTAATGGTGTTTCATGTCTTCTGTAAAGAACTTTGAATTGCCTTGTTGTTAAAAGGTCCTATACCAATACCCTTGCCTTGCTTTGTTTTTAACAATAGTAAAATAAATGTCCAGGGACACTTTAAAATTCACAATTAGAAACCTCACAATTAGTTAAAAGAAAAAAAAAAATTTATAATTTATTTTTACTTAAAAATCCAAACTCAGTAACTCAAAATGTGCATATGCTTGTTATGTTTTAGACTTACACCATTAGCTACTGGAATAAAATAACAGACCATTTCCCTGTTCTGGACAGCTCTTTACACATTAACAGGTTTCCTTAAAGCCAAAAATAGCATTATTCAGAAACAATAGGCAGAGCTGACTTGGTATTCATTCAGGCATGGGGCCACAACTGGTTTTGTCACATGAAAGCACGATAAGCTAGTGATAAAAAGATGTCTGTCTATGTGCATGTCACTTAAAAATGTAAAGTGTGAGGAAACAGAGCACAAAATAATAAGCAATAATATTAGTTAAGAGTTTATTTACTTAATTTTGTTAAGATGACCTTCCAAATTGAAATTGTTTCTATTGTTGGTGATCTGACTGTGGTCGGTAATTAGTCATGACTGTGTGCTCTTTCCTTGTGTCCTACGAACTAAACAATTACAAACCAAACCTACAAACCAATCTGAGTGATAAACTAATCTTTAAATGCTAATTAGCTTTAAAGTTCAGACTGCAGGTCTATAACACACAGTGTGATTTATGTGGAGGTTGAGATCTCTCCGCTGTATATTATCCATCACTGATGAAATGGAAAACAATTGTGTGACGTTCAGTGCTGTTGGGAACATTTTTTTCTACCTGAGACACCTCCATGTGCTGACTGATGAAGGGTAATTCGCAACCTGAAAGAAAGAAATAGCATAAAACATAGCAGGAGAATATCCTGTAATGATTACTTTGATTGTAATTGTCTGTTGACCCACACACTGTCCTTATTTCTTATTAGGGATAGAGCTTTTCAAATTTCAACCATCTAACATTAATAAGAGTTTGTACAGTGTACAAAGTGTCATGACAGTGATTCACCTGTGCTCTTTATAAACACTTGCCCCAACAGATGTAGCCTTCAATAGTCTTCTAACCAGTGTGTGAACTATATAATGGCTTTGTCAACTGTCGTAGGGGTCGGACTGACAGTGACGCACAGTATGCTGACTACAAAAAAGAAAAATGAATAATGGATCTTCAAACTGATGATCTGTCGAGTAAAAAGTAGTTTCGGAAAGATTAAATTGGATTGATTAAAGGACATTTGGAAATACACTTATTTGCTTTCTTGCAGTAGTTGGGAGAGAAGATCGATATCACTCACATCGGTCCACTAAACATGAAGCGACTGCCAGCAGCAGGTTAACTTAGTGTAGCACAAAAACTGGAAACCGGAGTGAAACAGCTGGCCTGGCTCTGTTCAACGATAACAATCTATTTACTGGAATCTCTAAAGCTACCTGTATGCTTCGCTAATCGGTTGATGGCTCCAGCTGCATATTTAGTAAATACATATTTGAACGATTCAAACCAAACTCACTGCTCTAAATAAAAAGCTGCAGGCAACCATAAGCTAATTATAGTATCTAAGTATTCTAATATTTGAACTTGCACCAGCTCAGCCTGCAACAATTATAACAAAGATTTTTACACACCAAGTCTTATCAACAAGTGCATAGAGTCAAAAACTGTTCACAGTGCAAGTGAAAAAATAAAGTGTCTGAGTGATGTGTGGTTTCATTTCAACATGCATGATCTGCCACAATTATACCCAAACAGAAAACCTAAATATTCCTTTGATGCTCTGAGTCAACACATTTTATACAACTATAAGCTGATTTACATGCAGTATATCTCAGATTTAACTAACTGAGGTAACAAGGAAGTTCCCCTCAGATTTCAGCCTTAGCGATTCTTTAGAACAACTACAAAGTAAACTAGTAACTTGAACTGTGTTTTGGTTTAGTCAAACATCCTTTACTGCACATAACAGACAAAGGAACGACGAGAAACGTTGCCAGTTTGTCAATCTGATACAGGTGTCTGCCTGTCTGCCTTTGTTTGGATGTTAAGTGTAGGTGTAGTGTAGTGTGTGTGTGTGTGTGTGTGTGTGTGTGTGTGTGTGTGTGTGTGTGTGTGTGTGTGTGTGTGTGTGTCATAATTTAATGAAAAATTATATGAACACTTTGTCAATGTTCTTTAAAAGGATTCTTTAAAAACATTATTTTATTAAAAAAACATTTTCACGTGTTTTACTCGGAAAGTTGAGTAAGGTTTTTTTGAGTGACATACGCTGGATCACATGTGCTTGCAGGCTGGAAAATGCAGTATGGGCAGGGACTGATTGGAAGTATGTGTGGGTATTCCCGCAATGTGCAGTCACAAGAAGAATGCATACTGGTTCGCCAAAGACTGTTCATTGCACGTAAACTTCCAGCAGATCATTATGTCAGATGCAAAAAGGAATTCACTGTAGGCTATTATGACTATCTGTCTGCCCCCTTTCTGTTCAGACCAACAATGGGCTAATAACAAGAAATTAGCATAACAATTCCCTTCTTACAGTAAGTACACGATCATATCCTGATCTCAGTATCTTACAATTGCGACTGATTTCTCTTAATCCAGTATGTAATTATAACACATGGCAGCGTACAATATATTCAACATATTGCAAATTTCATAAAAACTACAAGCACATGTAGAGAATTTTAAAAAGTTTGTGCTGTAAGTGATCATTTTAAGGAGCACTGTTTTATTTGACTATTCTGGGGAGGTTTTATTAGACAGGAGCAGCTGAAGAAAGACAAGAAAGTGGGGAGCGAGAGGGGCTTCAAAAGTCTGGGAGCCGCTGTGGTAGACTGAAATTAATGTCAGGTTACATATCATAACTGACTAATGTAGACGGTGTAGATGAAGATTCAAAAAAGCTCTTTGATTTTGTAACTCTAGATAGTCTGTTCTCGATGATAATGAGCGCTGAATCTCATGGGTATTAGGTAGTAATTGGTGTCATTAGGTGTATTGAGCTGATGGGAAAACATGAGCTAAATCACAACCTAATACAATACACCCTGGATTGTTTAATGTGTTGAGATATACTGTATGTATCATTTATAGTGGACTTTTTCAGCAGTTTGAGCTACAGTAGCTCGTCTGTTGTCACACAGGCCAGCCTTCCCTCTCCACCTGCATCAGCGAGCCTTGGCCCTGTTGCCGGTTTATTGCTTTTCCTTCCTTGTACCCCTTTTGATAGGTACTGACCACTGCAGACTGGGAACACCCCACAAGAGCTGCAGTCTTGGAGATGCTCTGACCCAGTCATCCACCTATCACAATGTGGCCCTTGTCAAAGTCGCTCAAATCCTCACGCATTTTTCCTGCTTCTAACACATCAGCTTTGAGGACAAAATGTTCACTTGCTGCCTAATATATCCCACCCACTGACAGAAGCCATAATTACATAATCAATGTTATTCACTTCACCTGTCAGTGCTCATAATGTTATGGCTTATCTGTGTATTATTGTAGAACTTGTAACTTGAAGCCTTGTTTTCTTTCTATGAGTCATTTCAGCCAACGCCTATAAACTGTACTATGTACTTCAGTCACAAGAAGACTAGCATGCTAGCAGGTTGGTATGTATTTGTGTTGGCCAGTGGTAACAAAATAATACCCTTTCACTTTTGCAAGTAGCCTTATTGTTGCTTGCTGATGATTGTACCAACTGTTTTAACTGCAGTAACAAATCTGCACCAAATGCAGAATGCAGCAGAAATAACACTGAATAACTCTGACAAACACTAAACATCTGGCTGGACTTGGTTTCCTATTCATTTTAAATTTCAGTTGAAGAATCTTTTAGTTACTTTTATATAGTTCTGATCCTCCTCAGTGAATGTCAGCTAAGTCGGCACCACATTTTAAAAATCCTTTAAAAACCTGTATTTTCTACAA